TCACATCTCCTTCATTGGATGTAGCCTCCAGATGTTCCTCTTCACCACCCTTGGGGGCTCTGAATACCTGCTGCTGGCCGTGATGGCCTATGACCGCTACGTGGCCATCTGCCAGCCTCTGCGCTACCCCGTCCTCATGCGTCCCCGGGTCTGTGCGCTCCTGGTGCTGGTGACCTGGCTGGGTGCGTTCTTCAACGCCTTGATCCATGTGGCCTACACTCTGACTCTCCCTTTCTGCGCCTCCAGGGAAATCCATCACTTCTTCTGTGAGATCCCAGCACTCCTGAAAGTGGTTTGTGCTGACACTTCCCAATATGAAAAGGGTATTTATGTCACTGCTGTGATTTTTCTCCTACCTCCCATCTCAGCCATTCTGGGCTCCTACGGCAGCATACTGTCCACCGTGCTGGGCATGGGGTCAGGCCAGGGACTCAGGAAAACCTTGGGTACCTGCTCTTCGCACATGACTGTGGTGTTGCTGTTCTACGGGGCTGCCACCATCAAGTACCTTCTGCCAAAGTCCTACCAATCCCCTGTAGAGGAAGAAGTGGTCTCCGTGTTCTACACCATCATAACCCCCATGCTCAACCCGCTCATCTACAGCCTGCGAAACAAGGACGTCACTAGAGCTTTCAAGAAAGTTTTCAGAGTGTGAGGAATGTGGCGTTTCCTTGTATCTTGTTTGTATCAACCCATAATTCATTCCTAGTTTTTTTGAAATTGAATAGAAGATGTTTTTATGCAATTATTTACATTTTAGAAAACAGTTATGTTGAATTGAGAACAAAAATATAATAATGTACCTTATGATAAAACATAGCATCATTTTTTTATATTTATCATAAACATATAAGCCATTGCATTCAATAACACCAGAAATGTTGAAAATTTACTTAATAGATAATACACATTTCCTAACTGCTTACCACTTTTATTTTATTTTCATTTTGCACATCCTTAGAAAGGAACTGTGATGCCCTTACGCAGTTGTCTGCACTAGGACTTACATGTATTCAAAATCTATCATTGCAAGTGATAGATAGGTAGATAGATAGATTTTTTTTTAATTTATAGTTTATTTATGCATACAAGAACTGGGGTTAGGCCAGAGGAGCCAAGGTCTTTGGGTTGAGAAGATTCGCCAGAGACTGGTTGGGGAGCAGACAGGGAGACTGATCAAAATACATTGCTGAGGGGGCTGTGGGGGTACAGGAGAGTTCTGCTGTACCATGTGGGTCACTCCTTGGTGGCCAGTTACTGAATTCATGCTGCAGTGGCAGGTAATAGCTTGGCAGTGCTGTCTTTAACTCCTGTGCCACCAGCCTGGTTTATTCTTCTAAATTTTTTTTTAAGATTTATTTATTTGTGCATACAGAGCTGGGCTACAGGCCTGAGTTGCAGAGGCGGTGAGAGGACTCCCCAGAGACAGAGTGGGGAGCAGAACAGGCCGACTGACGAATTGCACTGCTGAGGGGAGCAGTGGGCAGGTCGGGCGAGGTCTGCTGCTCCATATGGGTCACCTCCGGGGCAGGCGGGGATCGAACTCATGCTGAAGCGGCTTTAGCTTCTCAGTGCTGTGCTGTAACCTGCTGCTGCGCCACCAGGGAGGGCCCTACTCTTCTAAATTTTAACACATTTCCCTAAACAATACTTGTTCTAATAACTGACCTGGAATATTTGAGCAATATTTAATTTCTACAGTATGTGCTAATATACAATGCTTAATATTTTGGAATTTTAAAATTGAGTCATAAATGGCATAAAGTGTTATTTCTATTTCAGGATAGCAGCTTAGTGATGTATGTTCATATCTTTGCGATGTGATCACGGTATCACAGTGTGTCAGCCAGTAGCTGTTAGGGTGTAGCGTCCTGACCTCACACATCTCGCCACAACCGCACCTGTGGCATCTTTCGGTCCCTGTGTCTGGTTTGGTTTATACGTCTATGTGTGTGACTCATAGGGAATTTGTCTTTATGCTTGGGCCTATTTTGGTAGCACTTTTCCTACACATCTATCCATGTTGACACCTGTGATGGCCTTTCATCTTTTTTATTTTTTTAATAATATAATAGTTTATTTTTGCACCTTTTTGTGCATTTTTCCATCTCAGTTGTAATCCCCGTGGGCTTCCCATCACCAAATCACCTGCGTGCCATCACCATATTCCAGTGCATTTCCTTCCCCCTATTGTTTTTGATCCCCTTCCCCCACTCCACCCCATAAAATGTCTCTGGTATGTAGCTGTTCATTATTATTGTTATTTTCTCGCCTGGTCTGTTATACTCCTGCTATGAGTGAAACCATCTGGTATTTTTCCTTTTCTTTCTGGCTTATTTCACTAAGCATGATCTTTTCCAACTCCATCCTTGTTGCTGCA